AATTAAAAGCGGTTGATAAATTGCACCAGTATAACACAATAAAACTGTTTTAACAGTAACCGCATTCAGCGTGCACATTTACATGCTTTTTTGAGGTAATATTTCTGCACAGGGGAGTGGTGGTCTTGAGGTTTTGGTATGTCCCATTGCAGTGCAGTCAGACACTAAGTGGCTCCAGATCGCATGTGATTGACAGCCTGTTCAGGATGATGAATTTTAATGGAGTATTTAATTCTATTTCAATTTGGTGTTGATTAGGCGTTAATGTAATATTTTCTCTCAGGCTGTTGTCCTATCATTCTATCACATCGCTCTGTGTGTGAGACTCTGCACCTAATGTATTTTTGTTCATGAGGAATTGTTTTGTATTCATTGTAGTACTTAGATAACAGCACGTCTGTACTTGTACTGTCCTGTTGACTCCAAACAATACTTTTTGAAGCCCTGTGTTACTTTTTGTGTTTGCTGAAAGTATTATGTGGTCTGATGTTTATTTATGACGTGACATTTATTGGGGTTTGGTGTAGTTACTGGGACCAAAGGCACAGCAGCAGTTGCAGATTTGCATCGTGTGTAAGACACTGTAGGAGATTTCTAATAAAGACTTTAACTGTAAGAGAAGCATGGGCATTTGTGGAGAATGGAAGGATGACAGTAGGCTACTGGCAAACTGTGGGTGTGTGTGTGTGTGTGTGTGTGTGTGTGTGCAGAGGGAGACAGAAAAACCATACACCCCGATTGTGTTATTATGTCTGTGTGTGTTTTTGAGACTGAGAATAAAGCACCCACCTGTGCACCCAGTAAAGATTGTTTGAATATCAAAGGCATGTGTGATGGAGAACACCTGAGACTAATAGTGGTTGCATAAAAAGCTACACAAAACATTGAAGCCAGCATTGCTCTGTTATTTGTTTGTTCTGTCATTTTTCGTGCTTTTGGCTGTTTGTCTGTGTATGTTCTGTGTGCACGTGTGCATGTCTTTGTTCACTGTTTCCTGATGTCTTTATTTGTTAAGATCTCTTTAAAGATGCTGCTCGGATTGTACGATAGACACTATATAGAAGCCTGTATGTACACAGCACAACACATGTTGACTGCACATATGAACTCCTGGCCTCCACACCTTCACCTTAAGGGGATACCTAACAATCTACTGTCTTAGTGTCATAAATAATAGTTCCAAGAGTGAAGGCCATGGAGCAGAAACAGCTGTGTGTGGAAATGGCATTTTCTGTCAATGTCACTTTCCCAGTATGGTCAATAATGGTCTCCTGGACCACTGGTGTCAGAGCAGTACATACAGTCAGGTCCATAACTATAACATAACAATGGCTATAATTCCTAAATGGTTAAGGCAAGAATTTTGTTAAACCCCATGAATTAAAGCAGACAGTCTACACTTCAGTAACATATCGACTGCTTCATTTCAAAGTCACTGTGGTGATGAATAGAAGCCAATCTACAAAAATTGTATCACTGTCCAAATACTTATGGATCCAACTGTACATCAGTGTCTCTGGTTTGATTCTAGATGGGGATGCTTGTCTCCTGTGATTCTATTGCCATAGCATGACAGCAACGTATTAAAAAAAACAAAAAACTATTTAAAATAGAAACATAATTGGGAAGAAACAAAGAAATGTCATGATGTAACAGATTTCATGGTGGTCAGTGAATTATCTTCTCATGTCTTCTGAATGTAGTTTATTAGTAATTCAAATATTTCTTTAGCTGAAATTTGCACAACAATTTACTGAAAACTCAAAGTAACTGGTGTCTATCTCTTCTGAAACTACATTTTTTTTCTATTATTCAGTTTTCCTTAACATAATCATATTTATAAAATGACAAAAATCAGTAAATCAAAAGAAGAAAATGCCTTTTTGTCACCATCACACATCCTTTAATTGCAAGATGATGTTGCTGTAGCTCAATAGATGTATAAAGCATTCCCCACTCTGCATACTGCTATTGCTCTTCAGTAGAAATCGTGTAACAACAGTCGTCTTTGATTTGAATCCATAAAAGCCTTTTCACTCCCCAGTACAGAAACTGCAACACTCTCGTAAAAAGTGCACTGCTTTTTCCCAGTAGTCTTTAGAACTGTTCCTTAGCGAGGCTTTGGGTCGTGCTGTTTTTTGTCATCATCATGTCATTGAGCTTTAATTGACTCAACAAGGATTTGGCATTCCTCTAATGGCACCACTTTGAGGACAAATTCACACTCATTAGATCCCAATGATGCTCAGTTCACATGGAAATTTGGTACATGCACTTACAGTTGGGGATACATGTTTGAAGATCTCTCCTCTCTATGTTGTTCTTCTGCAGTTGTCTTTTTAAAGGCATCAGTACTTTCTCCCTATGTCAATTTCCCACTTCTTCTTTGTTACATCTATAACAAATATGTCTCTTTCAAGGCAGCACACTAATGAGGCTGAGTAGAAGATGGAAGGAGAGGTAATTGAATGGCATAAGTCTGTTCCTATTTAAAGGCCAGAGGAGAAAAGCAAAGTGGTGAGTAGTAAGAAGAGAGTACAGATGGAAAGACTGGGCCAAAAAAGAGAGAAACTAGCAAAAAGATGAAAACACAGTAAAAAGGTCGGGAGAACAAAGGTGGGGGGGCGTGTCCGTCCAACCAGTGGGACATCACTGCTTGCTGGGGCGATGGGCGATTTGAGCTAGTGATTAACGGATGTCGTGCGAGGCAGGCCGTTAAACGGTATGGGATTAGAGGACATGCTGCTCTCGGTGGCCCGCCGTTAACTGGGAGCACCGATGCCGCCCCACTCGGCAAGACCTCCGCAGCTTAGCCAGCCTTTCATCTGGCTGAGGGCTGCAGTGAGGGGGTGGGGGGGCAGACGGGAATGGACATGGGTACATAATTGTGACGATATCAACAGATAGTTTGTGTTTGCAGTGGCACCTAACGACGTTCGCTTGTCGGTTGTCTGATTAGTTTGCCTGGCTATAACACGACAATAATGAGTTTTCATGCTGATGCTTCCATGGCTACACACACATACACTATGGTAATACAGATGCAAACCTTTTTTGCTTTTTCCACAGAGGGAAATAAATTACCTTTATCCTGTGTGTGTGTGTGTGTGTGTGGGGGGGGGGATGGTGTTCTTTTTGTCCCCGTTTGTGCCTCTGAGATTCAGATTCAGTCTTTCATTTGAGACGCCCATGCTCTCACAGACAGGTGTCTGCTTCAGCACATGCAGGTGGGGTTTGCAACCGTGTGTGTGTGTGTGTGTGTGTGTTTGAAGTTCATATTTTTGAGTTTTTTGAGGGTGTCCATCGGTCATTTATGTGTATGAGTGTGTTTGCACAGCTCGACTGCTGTTCTGTGGTTTATTAGAATGCTGGCTATGAGCTTTGGGGTAGCACAGGATCCTAGGCACTGCTGAGTTTTGTGTGTGTGTGTGTGGGTGTGCACGTTTGATCTGCATTTGTGTAAAGACTGTAAACAATGCTTTCCAGTGCCTGTTTGTGTTTAAAGTGCATGTGAATTAAAAAGAAAATCTTGTCTTTTAGCTTGTTTTTGTTATTTGTCACATCAGCTTCATTTAGCAGAAACCGAACGTGTGTGTTTAACAGAGAGAACAAAAAACTGGAAACTGCCAAGAATTAGCTGTGTTCCCTTCATTTATGTTATTACGTTCTTAAAGTGTAATTTTGCAGTGTTTGAAGAGAATTTCTAATTTCAACCTAATAAACCATTTCTCTTCTATCACGACTGTGTCAGAACTGATTAAGCGAGATTATAGTAATTATAGAGCCTGCAGTGTTTCCCTAGGATTTTTTCAGCAGCGATGCTGTTGCATGAGCATCCACAAATGCCTCCTGTCTCCTGACCTACTGCTGCATTTGTTTCCTCTTTCTCCTGCCCTCGTGGCTGCTCTCTCTCTCTTCTTTATCACCTGCACTGCCTGTCAGCCTGTCTACTAAGGAAACACACTTGAGTACTTAGCTAGACAACCTGTAAGAACCAGCATATGTACTGTATGTAATCAAGCACATATTTTTTAATCTGCAGGGACTGGAGATGATTTGAAATGGATTTATTCATACCATGGGATGCCAACCTCACAAAGGTCCATCGTTTGATTTTGAAGTATTAGTTATTGGTTACACTGTCATTTGTTTAACTGGACAACAACCTTGAATAATTAATGCAAAGTGTGCAGGTAGTATACAGAACAGGCTGCACAATGGTGTAACTGCCCACAGGATTAACTAGTAACCATTTGACTTTAGCAATCACTTTGCTGTGAACATTTGGAACTGTTGACTTTGTTTAAGTCAGTTCTGCTATGTTTTATTGCTGCTGCCTTTGTCAAGAGGTTTGCTAAGTAAAAGAGTGTGTTAGGTGAGATAGGTAGGTCGACAGTATCCAGCTCCTGCACATAGAGGTCAAAAATGTCCTATGCTCCTAAATGCAGCCTTCTCTGTGTGTGTGTATTTGTTTGTGTCGCCGGGCTCCCTTTGTTTCATACTAGCCCCAGATAGCTCCCTGCAGTGTAGGAAGCACCAGTTGCAGTGATTACATGTCATTGTGAATATTACTGAACCATATGAAATTTCAGGAGCGGTGCTGCTGATTGTGCTGAGGGGAAACACCCAGTTATTCCATGCTTGAGGAGATGGATGCACTTAGAAAAGCATTTTCAGTGTGGTTTACAGTCTGTGTATGGATGACCATTGGGGGAACTGAAGCACATGGTCTTCTCTTTTATCAACAACAGCACCAATGTTTCATTGTGGTCCATTTGAATGTGTCTATTTAAAATGACAAACTGCACAAAAATAAGCTTATGATTGGTTAATGAGAGTGTCTCCTGTCAATTTAAAGCTTGTAACAAGGAAGAAATGTTTACGTAACATCCCTGCTACATTGGACTGTGGTAAGCTTTACAGGCTAAAGGGATTTAAGGAAATTATTATTTCGTAAATGCTATAGTCTAATTTTTCTTTCTGTCTGTCTCTCTCAACAGGCATTTATTCGACCATTCAGGGAACACCACATCGATCCAACCGCCATCACTCGCCACGACTTCATTGAAACCAATGGTGACAACTGTATGATCCCCATCCTGCCACTGGCTCACATGGCCTACAAGTTCCTCACATACACACCAGGTAGAACACACAGACAGAATTTAATTTCCAGTTATAGAAAGTGGGGAAGAAAAAGCAAATGCATGTACCTGAAATGACACATTGAGGGAAGAGAGACAAAAGAAGAGTGAAAGTTGCTCTTGTGGTCATGAAAATGTGGTTGCCAGAGCTCTGGTATTTTGTATCTTGTGCGGAAAAAGTTATTCATGCACATTGTTATTGCCTGTGAGTGAGAAGCTTGGGGGCATCACACCTGCAGAGGTTCGAATTACACCCCTGAAATCCCCCCCCCACCCCCTCCCCTACCCCAAGCAAGTGCAGCATCATGAATCCAGTCAACAGCTTTCACATTGCATAAAGCTGCAATGTGAACGTAAGGACTTTAGAAGATGAACTGCACAGGGTCCCACAGTCAGTGAAGTAGTGGTGCAGGGTGCTTCTGAGGTGGCTGAAGTGATCATGCTGGTAATCATGTGCACCGACCTTACGAGTGCGGGGTAGGAGGGGGAGGAACTGGAGAAGGAAGTTCAG